TGCGTAGGCGAGTACTAGGTAGTGATTATCATGCTAGCTCTCTAGAACAACATATAGACTGAATAAGTTGCTTTGGCTTGGGCACGTGCTACGCATGCCTGATCACCGCTTACCTAGGAGGGCCTTGTTTAGTCTGCCAGGTGTAAAGTGACGCAGGGCTCGAGGTAGGCAGAAGTTGACGTGGCATCGGGAAATGAAGTCACTGACGACCAAACTGGGTGCCGTTGGTCCGTCTCGCCTTCCGGGCTGGTGTCCACGTGACTCGTCTTGTGCCTGGTTCGAGACTTTACAGGACATGGCTCGCAACCGACACCAGTGGCGCTTCTGTTGCCGTCTCCTAATCGGATTCCCTGTTTAAAGTGTTATCTGCGGGGTAATGGCTGACTGTGACGTGGGGCAGTGAAAGCCGCAAGGAAGCTGTCTCGCCGATGCAACCTTATCTTTGCACGATAGCAAGCTGTTTGTGACGGTATGTTGTCTACACAAGGTGTAGGCGCCTTGACTCTGAATGTTTGCTTAGGGTATTAAGGTTTCCAGGTAAGTCCCCGTTTTCTCTTTTTTTCTTTATTCCTTAGGTCATCATGGTTGTATGGCAGCGACGCGCCAGTTCAAATGGCTGATGTACGGCTGTTGTTGATGTGGGTTTCATATATATATATATATATATATATATATATATATATATATATATATATATATATATATATATCGGGCAAATGCGATTACATACAGTCTCTGCAGTGTAAAGCTTCATAATTCGTGCGTTGGTCTGACTGTAGACCAATTTCGTGTAATTCAGGGCATTCGGAACGAATTTTTGAAAATCGTTTGTAAACACTGCCAAGCTAAACTTGTGCAGAATAGAATCGACACGTCTAACAAGCGGATCAGTACAACGAAGTGCTCTAAAATGGCCAGCTCGCCTTGTGCTACACCACACTCAGGGAAGCAGCCAACGCCTAGTACAACATCGCATTCATCCCGGAAGCAAGGTACTAAAGTTCCGTCAGGCTCTCCCGCAAGGCCTACAATGTGTTCTGTTGACAGTAAAGCTCCAATTTGCAATGAGCAAATTGAGGATAACGAATGGAAAGTGCAAACCCCGAAGAAACCAAGAGCAGTATCTAGCGACCTGAGACGCCGTAGCTTCATGGTCTTTCACGCACCTGAATCAGGTGATTCCAATCCTCAGGTGCGCTATGAACATGACGTCGAGTTTTTGCAATCATTGGTTGATAGACTACTCGATGTAAATGAGGGCGGGCTCAAAGTGCAGCAGCTCGCCCGTCTAGGAAAGAGAATGGAGGGCAAAATTCGGCCCATGAGGGTGACATTTGTCGAAGAAGCAAGTCCCAAGTTACTATTGTCCCGTCTTAATAGGATGAAGGGTCTAAAGATCCACGTGCGCGCTGACTTAGACCCGGCAGACAGAGAGAAAATTAAGTCTGCTATGATAACTAAAGCGACGCACGGAGGATGGAGAAACAAGTCTCCGTATTGTAAATTTTTGGTTAGTTGCCCGGATTCCTCCACGAATCCGGATCAACAGGTTTCTAATGCTTCAGGCGCGCCCAGCGGTTCCTACCGCGGTCTGCGCGTAGCCTTTACTAACGTGTGCAGTTTGATGAACAAGTGCGATATGCTGTACGAATTTGTAAGCTCTCAGCGACCAGACGCATTAGGACTTGCTGAGGCATGGTTAAACTCCAAGGTAACCGCCCAAGAAGTGGAAATCACCGGCTACTCATGTTTCCGCTGTGATAGACCATCAAATGATCGCGGTGGCGTTCTACTTTACATAAAGTCTTCCTTGTGTGGGAGACTAGTGAGCGCCTACCAAAGCGCTGATGGTCTATGTGAGCAGTTATGGTGTTCGATTCACCTCAGACGCTGCGAGTTGCTCGTGGGCATGATATATCGTAGTCCACTGAGCCGTTGTTTGGACTGATTGCCGCATGTCCGCAACCACATGACTCGTCAGATGTTCCTACTCATGGGCGATTTCAACTTGCCCCGAATACAGTGGCCTGAAGCTGAACTTCTCCCCGGCCACTGTGAAGTCGAGAGGAAGTTTACGGAGTTGCTATTTGAAACCGGGGCCACACAGCACATCAACCAACCGACACGTATTACTGCGCGCGCGACTCCATCGTGCTTAGACCTGCTTTTGACTAGCTGTGAGCAGTGTGTGCATAACATTCAAGTCTTAGAGCATCTGGGAGCGAGCGACCACTCGGTGATCATAGGCAGCTTGGAACTACCGCTGCCGAATTCTCCCTCACTAGAGTCAGCCTTCAACTATTGGAAGGCGGACTTTAATGGCCTCATTCGAGCAGCTAGCCAGATAGACTGGTCTTTACCACAGGATTCATCTATTGAAGCCTGTTGGACTGTCATTAAAGAGGGAGTGAAATTGTTGTGCGCCCGATTTGTATCCCTCAAATTTCGGAAAGTTGGGCCGGTCAAATCACATTGGTTCAACAAAGAGTACAACAAACTGGCCCGACGGCGACGCAGACTATGGAACAAATTCGTGTTATCTGGTTCTGGTGAGGACTACAATGCGTACAAGGTACAGCGAAATCGCTGCAACAACACGAAAACAAGAAAACGCAGAAGCTTTGAAGAGGAGCTTGCAACCGCCGCAAAAACTGCTCCCAAGTGGATCTTCGCATACGTGAAGCGGCGCCTTAGGCCTGTAGCCAATGTACCAGTGTTAGAAGGCTCAGAAGGACAGCCTCTAACCTCGAGTACAGATCGTGCGTTCGCATTGGCGGCGCACTTCGCCTCCGTATTTGCAAGTGACCAGGTGTCTGTAACGAGTTCGACGAGTACCGCTCCAGCCGAACTTAACGGCCTGGACTGCAATATTGAGGATATACGCGAGCTTTTAGCAAATCTTGACGGGACGAAGCCTGCTGGGCCAGATGGTATACACCCACTGATCCTCAAGTCCCTATCGGCCATGGACTGTTACCGGATGACTGGAAATGCTCAGTCGTAAAGCCCATACCGAAAGGTGGTAACCCAGGCAAAGTGGATAACTACCGGCCGATCTGCCTGACCGCTGTTTTGACAAAGGCGCTCGAGAAGCTCGTGAAGAAGAGCCTTCTGCAGCTTCTCGAGTCGAAAAACCTGTTAACCTCCGCACAGCATGGTTTCGTGAAAGGTCGCTCGTGTATCACCAACCTACTGTTGACGAGGCACGAATGGTTACAAGCGCTGAACCAAGGCCAATCGGTCGACGTCATTTACATTGACTTCAGTAAAGCTTTTGACAAGGTTAACCATGCAGTGCTCCTTGACAGGCTGAGGATGTGCGGTGTTGGTGGTTCACTGCACAAATGGATCAGCAATTTCCTTGTTGATCGAAAGTGGAGGGTCCAGGTGGACAACCATCTAACTGACTGGTATCCATCGAGCAGCGGCGTGCCCCAAGGCACTGTACTGGGGCCGATATTGTTCCTGATCCACGTAAACGATGTGCCTCAGCTACTCCACTCACCTTGTGCGTTGTTCGCAGATGACTTGAAGGTGTGGAAAGTAATCCGCACACTCAATGGTTGTGATTTACTTCAGCAGGACCTCGACCGTCTCTCGACATGGTCTGCAGAGGTTAACCTTCCGATCAACCCTACCAAGTCGCAATTTATGAGGTTGGGTAAGTGTGAGCACACCCGAACGTACACAAGTGGCTGGTCAATCGTAGCATCCCGCGCCATTCGTGCGCGACCTCAGTGTGCTCTCACGCTGCAACCTAAAGTCCATTGACAACACGAATAAGCTGTACCAAAACATCCTTCGGATGCTTTGGGCCCTCAGGCGCAGCTTCAGCACTTGGTCCGAAGAGATTGCTACTCGCCTCTTCGTCTCGATAATACGACCAATGCTAGAGTACGGCTCTCCCGCGTATTGTCCCATCACTCTGGGCGAGGTAGAAAAGCTTGAGCGGATGCAGCATGTAGCCACCAGGCTGATTCCCAACTTACGAGGTATGCCATACGAAGAACGATGTAAGAAACTAGGGCTGTACACCCTAGCTTATTGTCAGCTGAGGGTTGACCTCATCATGACGCACCGGATATTACATCTGAGTGATTACCCCATGTTGAGACAACTGCTTCATCTGCGCACACCAAGCTGCACGCGAGGACACCGGTATAAACTTATCGTACCGAATTTGAAGCGGGTCGCTCACCAACTCTGTTTCGAACGCAGAGTGGTGAATGTCTGGAACGACCTGCCGCAGCACATATTAGAGACGAACTCAGTGTCCGCATTTAAGAAGCGCCTAGACAAACACCTTGCAGAGGCAAAATATAGAGAGCGAAACGATAAATAAGCAGTATATGTCCAAGAGGTGCAGCTACACAGAGAAAGTACTACTCGCTGCTTCTAACCTGTATATATATATATATATATATATATATATATATATACCACCGATCACAAGTCAAACAGTTGTTACAACCATCCGTATCAAACCCGAGAATTCTTGGTCAAATTGCAGTTGAAACGATGCAACGAACCAAATTTCCAACCTGGTTTCGGATGTTGCAACATAGCCAGTGCCGCGCTGAGTCCCATCCAAATGCCAAGACAATCCTTGTACTAAAACGTCCGTTGTTATAGGCAACTCAGTCTTTAGTGGATTTCAGGTTAAATCGACTGTAATCTGGACATAAACGTATGTGTTCATTATTTCGTGTGGGTGGCATCCATTGTGATAGCGAAGAAAGGAGACGACAGGTATTTTTTGCTGACTTCTCAACAAGTTTGTATTCCGTGGTAAAGAGTTATCATTGTCCTTTATCCATTATCCTTGTCCACTGAACTCAACGGTGATAAATGCCTCGCTAAACCTGACCTAGCATACGCTTATTTGCAGGTTTAGTTGTCGGAGAGTGTAGAAAACTGCTAATAGTCAATATGCATGTCGGACTTTTCAGCTATAATCGGTTTCCTTCCAGAGTAAAACTACACTGGCCATTTTTCAACAGATCATGAATACACTGCTGAACACTTTCCAGTATCGCAATATATCTGGACGGTTCTCTGATTATGGTTTCAGATCCGCGAGATTTGACATACTTAAGTGAGTGATTTCACGTCTGGAAGAAGCTGGATTTCGATTACGAGTTGAAAAATTTAACATCTTGTTCGGTGTCAATTTTCTCGAGTTTATTATCAACAAGTATGATCGGCGCCTAGGTCCTACCATCATAGTAGCTACCACGCAAATGGAACCTCCAAAAGATGTTGCAGCCTTCCGCTCGTTTCTCGGTCTCGCGAGACATTGTAGCGTTTTCCTATTAGACCTTCATCAAATAAGTGCCGGCCCATGATCTTAAGGATTACAAATCTGCCTTGTAATTCTCGGTCGCGGGTTCGGACTTGCGTAGGGACCGGGTGATTCTCGAAGTATCCTTAGCCTACGCGTGATTAGTTGTAGTTGAGCGCTAGCGAAGCGTGCGTACCGGCGTACTGCTGATGCCTTTCACCAAGCAATAGGTCCGATTGAGACCAGTTGCTGACGAAGGTAATGGATAGTGGTAAACGGAGTGCCAACAATTCTTTGCTGCGGTAAGAGCCGTATGGAAGCCTTGGTACGCAGTTATATTTATTGGACTGAACTGGATTCAGAAATCTAGAATTATCTTTAAGATGCGAATCCTGTCAACTTGCGGCCGAAGCCCCTCTGAAGTAATTGTGATAACCTTAACGTTAAACGGCATATTCAATTTGATTGTGCACGACCAATCAACGTTCAAAACCGTCTCATTTCGATAGACTTCTTCAAGTGTCTCTACGTGATCCCGATGCTCGATCCGACTGCCCAGAACACCATTAACGAGCTGGACAAACTTTTTAGATAATTCGGCTTACCAGAATGAGAGTGACAGACAATGAAACACATTTCACCTCAACATCGCGAGTTTTGCGAGGAAAGCGAAATTTAGCGGATCTTCTTATCACCTTATCATCGACAATCATATAGACAGACTGAAAGATTCCTTGATGCCTCCAATCGGGCTCTTTGTAAAGCGGAGGGAAGAAAAAACTTACAGGACGCTATTTTGCTCACACAGTGCAGTTCAGCTAGTTTATCTCCTGGAAGACCCAGTCGCTTGCCTCTTGTAACGCTGAGTGCTTCACAATGGAGTCTGCCGTAAAGCATCAGAAATCTGGAAATGTAACGGCCGGCGAAAGGCACTCTTTACACGACAGACTTTGCCGTAGACCCTGCTGCGACCTGAGACGTTGAAGTACTGACTACCTAAGACCTTCACTTTCTTTGTCGGGGTACCGCCTAGTAACTAACCCGAAAATAATTGTGATGATAACTTGTTGCTCGGGCAAACGAGATCGACGCAGGTGAATGTGCATAAGGCATTTTGATTGACCAGAAGAACGCGATGGGACTCATCCAACATGGCACAAGCAAAGAGCAGCATTGTCACATACAGCGGCAAGCTAGATTCGCCCGGGTACGTGCGCGTTGGAGAACTCAGGTTGTCAACGGTGTGCAATGGCAGCTGATCCAATGGAGCACTGAAGATAGAAGATGAGTGGACAGAAAGTGAATTAAGTGCAGCCTACATGAACTGATCAGGGGTGTAGAATTACGGACACTATGACCTATCTTCGAAGTATAGACACTGCTAACACGGGGACTTGGAACTACGCATGTCATAAACTGCTCGGTTCAAAGGGGTCTTCACTACACCGAACGATTATAGTCCTCTTAGCCACTGATGCCATGCGTCTTTAATTTAACTAGGCACGTCATCTATCGTCTTGATTAACTCTAGTACCTTTTCACATGGGATTATTGGAAATATATTAACGGGAAAATGCTCGATGTTGTGAGACGATCGGCTTGCTTATATATCTGTGTCATTATGGAACCCTCTTACCAAGCCAGCTAATTCCGCCGGGCCACCCACAAACGGTGGGAACAAGAGCCGATAGAGCATCATGAGTTTCGTCTCCAACGAACTCAGATTACCACTTAACAAAAGCTTCAACATCAGTTTTCCGAGCTGTAGACAGAAAAGAACACTTCGAATCATCAGCGAGCTTCAAAACCCTCCATGCGATTGGAGAACTTTAAGTCTCATCTGCAGGAAAACGATTATCCTCTGGCGTGCCATGACTACTAAAGCCATCTAAAATGTCATTGTAAGCTGGTTGACTGCCCCAATTGATCGCAGACCGACTCGAAGAACGTAACTCCTCCCAAAGAAGCGCAACAATGAAGGACCAGATTTCTGGTAGGCCGAGTTCCCAGCGTGTGATTAAATGTCATCCGCCTCAACATTAGGCCTGTGTCGGCGGTCAAAGGACATCGGATGTCATCAGTCCATGGCAATGAGGCTGGACCTTACCGTGGTGCGATGGTTTGTGTGCCTCAGTGATCCACTGAGTTATGCTGGGTGGTGCTTTTGCACCTTCAGAGCCACTCATATCAGATTGGTCAGTGGTTAGAGGCCAGACAAACTCAGCCTCCTGGTCCTCCAGGTTGGGGGTTGGAATGAGGGTGGCACCTTATTCCTCAAAACGGGATCCTTGTAGCCCAACGCCAAACCCGCTTCCTTGTGGTCAGGTTTTTGAACCAAAGACTTTGGTTGAGAACCCTAATCGTGCTTCTGTCTAGACCTGGGCAACCTGACAGTATCCTGCCCACGCAATACCATGAATATCTCTTCGAACAAATTCTTGATGCTCTAGCCACCGCAACTGATAATCAACGGTGCCCTATCTGCTACATCGAGCAGGGTGGATAGGGGTTTGGATGCTACTGCTCAAGCCTTCCCGTCTTCTTATTCCCCCTCTTACGCTTTTTCACTCTTACCGTCCCATTCCAACTTCACTTTTATCCCCCCAGTTTTCAACCCCCGATTACTGGCCCTCCCTCAACATGCTTTGCTAGGCGTTTATTTTCTAGTTTCAACTCACATGCTAACGCGGAGCGTCACTCCTGTTCTGTCGACAAGCCCATGTCTAACCAAGCGGTCCACTGCAGTTCATCGGCTTCCATTTGGAGCCCTCGATCCTCCTTCAGATTGGCATGCCTCAATGTACGCACATTGCTACAGATCGATCAACAGGCAGCACTTGCCCGAACATTAGAGACCCTCTCGATCGATATCTGCTGCTTATCGGAAAACCGCCTGCAAGACTCGAGCTCTGTGCTCATTCTGCGATCCCTTCAGGTGACACCAACAGTATTTCCTCATTGCACCTATCCGGTGACGATGCAGCTTCGAGCACCGGCCAAGCTGGTGTCGGCATCGCCCTGAGTCCCCGGGCTGAAGCTGCTCTGGTTGATTGGATTTTTATCAGCAGCCGGATGTGTGCGGCCGATTGGCTGGCTCGTTCAAAGCTTCGAAGTCGCGCGGGACTAATAGGTGTCTATTCCTCATCGCTGCCTACGCGCCCACAAACTGTAGGGATGATTTGGTAAAAAACGACTTCTACCGCCAACTGACCTAGCTCCTTCACCACAGAAGAAGCACGGACGCTGTTGTGCTGGCGGGGATCTTAACGTTCAAGTTGGAAAGTTGTCCACTGATGAAATGCATCTGGACGGTCGGCACGGTGTAGGCGTCCGCAATCTTAACAGTGAGTGGTTACTTCATTTGTGTTGTGTTTTACTGTTTCTGTACCCCATGGTTTCTGATGGCCTTATGTCTATTCGTAGACCCTTGCAAATATATACTTCATTTGTGTGAAGATGCCCGCTTATTTCTTGCGAGCACTAACGTCCGACACAGCACTCGCCAGAGGTTGACTTGGCTCCCACCAGCCTTGAACGCAAATCGATCACCTTGTAATCAGTTATCACTGGAGAGGCTGCGTCCAGAACTGTCGCTCGATTTGGAGCACATGTGTGGACACTGACCATGCACTTGTATGTGCTGACATCCGGATGCATTTTGGCTGACACACGATGGCGCTGTGAGCGCATCGGCACCAGCATACTGGCGAAGCCAACTGTTCTGAATGCCTATCAAAGTACGCTGACATGCGAGTTGAGTAAGCGCTCACTGGAGACAATTGAAGGTCACTAGTCTCATATTCACCAGACCTTACTAGCAGCAGGCAAATCCCCATGTGGTAAGTCTAATAGGCAACATGGACATTGAGTGTCTTCGCTGTCTCTGGAACTTATCGATGCTCGCCGGCATATTCCGGCTGGAAGCGCACACAATGAAACTTGCAAAGACCTTTGGGCAAAACTCCGTGCTAGCCTGAAAAGAGACCGCGAATGTTGGTGGTCTCTTCGTGCGTCAGAGATGGAAGTGGCCGCTGCCCTTGGTAACCATCGTAAGTCACTCCACCTGATACGGGAAATGAGCAGGAGGAGACCTGATGTTAGTAAAACTGTACGTGGCAATAGTGGACAGCCTATCCACAATTTGTCAAAACGTTTGGTGCGTTGGGCTGAACATTTTGAAAAGCAATTTAATCGGCCGAAATTATTCGACTCCTAATCGGCCAGAGAACGCCCTGCTCCGTGGGCTGTGCCTTTGGATCCGCCCTCTCGCTCAGAAGTCAAACGAGAGATCGGACTGTTGAAGTTGAACATAGCCGCGGGACCAGATGATCTTCCTCCAGCCCTCTTCAAATTCGGGGGCTCTGCTCTTTTTGATGATTTACATGGATTACTAGTGAAACTGTGGGAGCAGGAAACTGTCCCAACCGACTGGCACCGTTCCGTTATTGTTCCCATCTTCAAAGGAGGTTCGCGTTCGCAATGCGGCAACCATAGAGGAATCAGTCTGATCTCCATCGCCTCCAAATTACTTACCTCCGTAATCCTTTGCAGACTGACTGGCGCTCGTGAAAGCCAGATTTGTAAAGAGCAAGCCGGATTTCGTCGGGCTTCATGGACCACCTCTTCACCTTGCATCATTTGTTGTAGCACAGTCACATATCTTGGCGGCCCACCGTAGTCATGTCCCTCGACGTCAAAGGTGCATTCGATTCGGTTGATCGATGTGCGCTTTGGAACTGTCTACTCAGGAAAGATGTGCCCCGAAAATATGTAAATATTATCCGAGAATTATACGCGTAGCACGGGCAGAGTGA